AATCCTGGAAGGAACCGGTCAATCCATATTCCACCTGGATCTTCCTCAGGGTGTCAGAAGACAGAACCAGCTCCACCAGACCTGGAACCGAGTGCGAGGGGTTCAGTCATATAAAAACCTCCCGACATGCATCCTTCCCTCGTGTGCAGGAGAGGAACGCATGAGGTCGCATACAAAGGAGATGAAATCACCGCCGACAAGGCCCGGAAATCTGCTAATGTGTGGCCTGCTCATTAAAGAGGAACTCCGACCCAATCATTGCTATTATTCCACATCATCTGTCGGGTTTTATTGCAGTATAACACCATCCCCCACTCGCATCTATGAAGGTGCACGGCCCACAATGGGAACATTAAAACTAAGGACGCACCGATACCGCTATGTTGGTACCGATCATTTTTTTTCCGTACTCGCCGACACCAATTACCGAGTGCCGGAAGTCCCGTTCAGGAAGCCGGGCGGCATGCAAAGAGTCGCCACCCGGCCTCCCGATTAACGATAAAGTCCCCCCTCACCTTAGTATGTGCAGCCCGTCACCCCGGGGCCTCTCCAGCCAGAACGCGCCCTTCCTCCGGTACCCAGCCGGAGAATCGGGAAGCCGGGCGCCGTGTAATGACGCGACGCCCTGCTTTATGATTGGCCGGGAGGCCGGCTCCCTCGTCATGAGATGACGAGGGAGCATGAAGCCGGCTTCCCGGCCAATCAGAAAGCAGGGCGTCGCGTCATTACACGGCGCCCGGCTTCCTGATTGGCCGGCCAAACGGCTCAGGAGGTGACAGGCTGGACATACTAAAGGTAACCTCACGAGGCCAGCTTCCCGACCAATCAAAAAGCCGGGCAGCGCGTCATTACACGGCGCCCGGCTTCCTGATCACAAGTGACGAGGGAGCATGGAGGCGCTTCCTGGCCAATCAGGAAGCCGGGCAGCGTGTAATGCCGCGCTGCCGCGCTTGCTAATACAGGAAGTACTCGTGCTAGGTATCGGAGCATTGGGGCCACTACGAGTACTCGCCCAAATACTGGGAATCAGCACCGATACCGATACTAGTATCAGCGCATCCGTAATTAAAGGGCCGCACTCCAACACAGGTCTCGTGTACAAATCACGGGGGAGATTTCCCCTCAATGCATTTCCTGGTGACACCCAGGGCACTGATGTGAGCTTAACTTCCTGTTACCCCGTATCTGCAATGTATTCTTCCATAGATTTCCTCACCGGCGCCTAGTCACGGTTCCAGCTGGAGCTCCACTTTAAGGGAACACCTCCCCCACACAGAAGGTCACATGACATCCAGGGAAACCCACCTCTGTCTTTACCAGTGGAGAGACATTTAAAGAGGACCATCCGCATGTCCAGACCTTCCTGTAGCCACAACTTGTCCATCATCTTTATCATCTGCAGAGCCAACATGTCCTGACGCAAATCTTCTCCGACCTACAAGACAGAAAACGCGGGACTGAGACGCGGACGCGGCAAACCTCACCTACGGCAACCAGTCAGAAATACTCCGCACCTTGAACATGGAGTTGATTTCCTCCCCCAGCGGATCGGCGCTCACCATGGTCACTTTTAGGGGAACGGCGTTGGAACTGAAGAAGGAGCACGCCTGCGGGGAGGAAAGGGGACACCGAATACAGAACGACGGTCCGGAATTTGTATGAATTTAATGCGATGAGACAACATGCAGCGCTGCATACAAAATGGCCGCCGCTCGGAGACACTCAGAGGTGCACACAGTCCGCACAAACTACACAAACACTCCCCACAACTCAGAACTCCTATCAGACTCCTTTACAAAGTAGGATTATGTTGTGTCTGTAGTTCTAATTCGATCCGAGCGACTGCCACACATAGAATACAAAGTATCACACTGCATGATGCCGCTACATGGAATATAATACATATGGATACATT